ATAGTTAATTTACTTCAATTTCAGGGCCAATACACTTAACAATAATGAATGCTATAACCTTTAACATTATAAGCACGAGAAAGAGTTGTGAGTTAAGTCATCACCACAGGGCATAATAGTGCCATTGGTTACAAACATGCCGTTCCTATTGATTGCGTTGAATCACATACCTAAAGGGCAGAATTTCTCTGAATTTGCACTGGTTATCCGCACATTTCTGCTGTGTTTAATCACATATACACCAAACTTTGATCCTTTTTTCAATTTCTATTATTATTATTTCACCCATATAGTAAAACTTGTTTTAGAAAGGATCAGATGGCTACAAAAAAGAAGCAGTAAACTCACAAAAAAAGTTTTCCAAAAATCTTCAGAAAAAGATTTGAGTACGGTACTTTCATTAGGTCTGGCTTATAACTGACACATCTAGAGACATGTCCCATTTAGAATAGACACATCATGCTTGCCAATTACCATAGTGACTTATGGTGAGGCAGCTGTCTCACACAGGCTCGGCACAGCCTCTTGGCCAATCTAAAAATAAGAGGCTTTAGGTAAGTAGGCTACAGCTACGCTGTGAACTTTTCCCAGAAGAGGAAATGCAAATGGAGCGCTCATTAGCATTCTCATGCTGTTCCGATCCTTTTTGCAGAAGAGGTGTTTGCGCAAAATGACACAGTGTAGACGGGGCCATTTTGTGCAAAAAGGATCAGAAGAGAATATGCAAATGAGAGCATAAGAAATGTTAATGAGCGCTCCATTTGCATTTCCTCTTCTGGAAAAAGTTCGTAGTGTAGCAGTAGCCTTAGAAAGCACTGCTCAGTAGAGAGGCAGTTGGATCCTGACCAGGGAGGATGCAGGACCAGTTCCTGGAGAAGCAATTTAAAACAGCGCTGCACAGGCTCAGTGGAGCAGAGCAAGGAACGCTCCAACTCGGTATCTGACAGCCTGTGGGCCTTGATGTAAGGTCCAAAGGATCACCAGGGAAGTGGCCCAGGGAACAAGATGCAATAAAGGGGAGTAAAGGAGGGCAGGACAAGGCTGCCTCCTAGTGGTCAGGCCTAGGTCCCTGCCTTTCCCCTTTACACCACACCCTGCCACCATATATAATGGCCTGTACATACTGGCTGTCTCTGAGGCAAAGGGGCTAGGCTTTGGGACTGCAGGTGGCCATAGAGTGGCAGAGGAAGCGGAGGACTGCTGATACTCCCGGAATGGGGTGAAAGACCACTGTAGTGGGCACTGCTGGAAGATGCTGTGGTCTGGGAGCAATGTGGGTCTAAAGCATGAGTGGAGCAAGGACAGGAGATACACTAGCCAAAAGGTGGTATCCTGCTGATGACTAGCCAAAAGGCGGTATCCTGCTGATGACAGAACTAATTCCCTGGAGCTACTAGCAGAAGGTGCCACAGCAGTGAGTCCCACCCTTTGACAAACTATATAAAATCTAGTCTTAAGATTATTGTTCTTCATCTTAACCACTGGACCATACTGCCCTTTCCACTATACTATCTTCTACCCACTGAACGGTTATATACTCTTCCCATCCTTGAATGATGAATCTGGAATTTATATATGATCTTTTCAACTTGGCTTCTAAGTGTCCATCTTGGAATATCGGGACCATTCTAAAATAATCTTGTGATTTCCCCCCCCCCCCCCCCCCCCCCCCCCCCCCCCCGACTACTGGGGCCCTTAGGCTTAGCCATAACCCCTCTGTCTAGCAGAATTGTTCCACAATATATTTCAGCCTTCAACAGTAGAGAAGTATTTTGTTATTACTCTTTATGGAGAAATCTCTCAAAAATGAAGTGATAAAGTAATAGACAGTAAATAAAACCCACATCTGACATACTGCATGACACTGAAAAGGTAATTTCAAATACCACTAGAGATTTTTTCAAACCCTTAATTTAAGAAAATGTGCTAAAAATTATGTAGACATGGAATTACAAACAAGGTAGATTATACATTTTTATGGCTATCTACACCATATGAAAATTGCCACTAAAAATGAAGTAAAAAGTGGGTCTGTTAGTTGCAACTTTGAAATAAAAATTATGCAAACTGAAAAGCATATTCATATTTTTACATCTTACAAATGTTTTGAAGTATGCAATGGAAACAAAGAGCCACTTGAAAGGCAACCTTAGGGAAGAAAGATTTGATCAGCATTACACTAAACACTGCAATAATTCAATCAATCTTATTGCATTAAAATGGTTATGAATCTCTAATATTTTAAGTATATTAACTGAATGAACACAACACACAGTCTTCTTCTATTAAGGCTGTAGATGCTTAGTGGTATTGGCAACACTCAAATAGGTAGTACGCCATGATTTTGCAGTACAAGACTAAAGCACATCCAGCTTCGTGTTACATGTTGCAGAAAGGAGTGTGGAAGGGGAAAAAAGTAGGATAGCTGTATGCATTAGTTCAGTGATATTTGATTGTTTTGTTTGTGTGTCAAAAGTGTAAATAAACATTTTGGCAATCAAATTTATACCCGTCAGTCATGCTTGTTTTATTTTCCTTTGACTGGTTTGAAATACAGTATTTTCTTATGACAGGAAATTAATACTCAAATTCACAGAGTATCAAGTTTTACTAAATACTGCAGTAGTTTCAGCTGTCCCAGGAGTACCTATTAATAGACTGAAAACTGAGTTGGAGGGAAAGGAAAATCTCTGCCACAGAAGTGATTCACTGCTTTATCCACATTTCTATCATTATGATTTTAAATTCTAACATGACCTAATGTAGGTCATTGCTCAATTCTTACAGTAGGGGTAAGTAGCTTACAAACCTGTCACTGGAAATGCAATCCAGTCTGTATTACTGAGGTCAGAAAAGCAGTAATTTCATTACTTTTAATTAAAAAATATATCTGTTCTTAGAAGGTACAGAGCTAGAGGCATATTTAAACTATTTTTAGGAAAAAAAACCCAGGATATTTACTTAGAATCTGTGTCTTCTACATGTGTTCTATATTCTGAAGGATTATTGTGAAACATCACAAAATCCCTCCTTCAAAAGCCATTTGCTATTTCACATAAAATTCACATTGCAACTGAATTTTGATGAGTACCATAGGCAATTTGATGGAGAGAAGGCTAGCTTAATTTAGTATTTTCACCAGAATAGACTTTAATGTTCTGGTAAGAAATTATTTCTACTTGTTAATACAAAGAAAATTGGTTCACAATTAAAACTACTAAACAAAATTATTTCCTGATAAACGGTCACTTTTCTAGGTGAAAGTTTCTAGTTCAGCACTGACATGAACTCTAAGAATTCCATAGGACTGATGCTTTTTATAGTCCTCTGAATATTCAATTACAAATGTTCAAGAGAACATGGTGTCCATGTTCCATACTCTAACAACGTTAAGAACAACTCTGCTTTCTATAAGCATGCTTTCCTATGATAGACCATATGTGCAGAGTTTTTCCACTTATTGAATAAGATTAGCTGATTTTTTGAGAGCTCAGATTGAAAGCATTGTGTTGCAGCATATAGCTAGTTTGCTGTGGTCTCCAACTTGCATTTAGACATACTTGTTCATTATTTGTATTTATTTTTACTCAATAGCATTTACAGTTCTAATATAATATGGATTTTTTTTGCAACCACAACAGATTTATTAAACTATGTTACTAAAATTAATCTAGCAAGAGGGTAAATATAAATCCAAATGCAATATAATGAACAATGAGCTTGGAGCTCCCGTTCATTGATCCAATGCATGAGTAAATATGGTAGTCTAGTCTATAGACATCTGAAATCCTGTGCTTGCTTTGAGATAGAGTCACCTAGACATTACACGAAAGGGAAACAAAACAAAAAAGCCTCAAAATACACACACACACACACACACACACACACAGTTGGTGCTGTTAAAATACCTTGTAT